TCTCATATCAGGCTCATTAGATGTAGAATCCAACGACCTGGGTTTACCTCACTGCCAACTGTGTGATTCCGAAAAAGTCACTGGGCATTCACCAACCGCACTTACTTCCCTCGTTTGTAGAATGGGCATCCCATACACCTCTCTCCTCATTTCTCAGTGGATTGAAATAGGACACAAAGGAGAACTGGGAGGCAGCCAGAGGCCTCCTGGAGATCCACTGCAGCATCAACTTCTTCATTCACTCCGTTTCCTGATCTGCATCATACAGCTTTGTCAATGTGCTGTGCACCAGCATAGTTCATTGAAACACAGTAATTAGCATCACAGATGAAATGACACTGCTGCAATGTTAATTACTACAGTGCAGATGCACCGTTAGATATCATACATAATGTTGTCAAGCCTTTATTTTTAAATTAAAGTGCAACAAACCATACCCAAGCCGCCTAGCTTTTTTTGATTAATACAAATTAATGTTATTTTGGTGTCTGGGGAAAGGGTGGTATAAGGGGGTGTTGCATCTAATTATAAGAACACATAGACAAGTGGTGGAATTTCAAATCGATTTCCTATCACTTCCTTCCCCCACTGTGGTCTCTACATAATGGAAAGTGTGAGTTCCATGAGGGCAGGGAGCATGCCCGGTTTTACTCCACACAATTCCTAGCTCCTAGTGCATAGTCACATATATTGAATATTGTATGAATTGCTGACAAAATAATGAGTGAATGAATGAATGAATGAACAAAGGAATAAACAAATGAACAAACGAATGAATAAATATAGAGTCATGTAAGTAGAAGGGGTCTAGAAGTTGCGTCAAGAACTAGAAGGTGCAGTGTTTTATTCCTGACGACCCTGGTTTTGTTTTGCTTCATGGCCTGCAAAATGATTTTGAATGCATCTCATGCCTGGAGTTTTAAAATCCGAAATGGGAAACAAGTGACTCATTACAATGCAGAACAATTAAAGTGCTTCATTGTGATGCTTAGCAAGCAGCACTGGATCCCACCAGGCTCAGGATGTATGGAAGATCAACATGGGTCCTTCAACATCAGCTAGGCACCCATGCAACACGTCAAAATTAAGGAAAGGGGAAGAATGAAAACATGTCTTTTTTATTTAATTCTCACCACAACCTCATTGGGGTCATTTTTCCCAGTTTTATATGGTAATAAAATACACCTATAAAATGTACCATCCTAACCATTTTTTACATGTACACTTTAGTGGTATTAAGTACCTTCAGGTTCTGCAACCATTCATCTCCAGAACTCTTCATCTTGCAAAACTGAATATTTAAGCCTATTAAGCAATAACTCCCCATTTTTCCTTACCTCCTGCCCCGGACAACCACCATTCTACTCCCTATCTCTATGATTTTGACTACTCTAGTTACCTCACATAGGTAGAATCATTTACACATAAAGTAATTACTGATAAGGCTAGATTTACTTTTGTCATTTTGACATTTGTTTTCTACATACCTCATACTTCTTTTATCCTTTGTTTCCATGGGGGAAATTTTCTTATCTCTACCTTACAGTTAAGGAAACTGAAGCTGTAGAGTGCAGAGTGGTTCAGTTGGTTGAACCATCATTCTGTTCACTGAAAGGTCACCAATTTTATTCCCGGTCAGATCATATATCTGGGCTGCAAATTTAGTCCCCAGTTGGAGCACATATAGAAGGCAACTGATATCTCTCTCTCTCTCTCTCTCTCTCTCTCTCTCTCTCTCTCTCTCTCTCTCTCTCTCTCTCTCTCTCTCTCTCTCTTTCTCTCTGTTTCTCCACTCACCTTCCTCTCTCTCTAAGCATGTCCTCAAGTGAGAATTAAAAAATAATAATAAATAAATAAAATAATTCACTGAAAGGTCACTGAGAGACAGATTTGGAATATTTTGATTCAAGAGTCCTTGATTCTTCCATCAAATATGTGCCAATGTGTGTTTCTAAGTATTGCAAAAATGCAGACAAGTGTATGACATTCAGTCACTGGCTTGATTCAGTGAATAACAGTTTTTTTAGGAACTTGAAACAGACCCAGATGAAAGCATCCCTAGAAGTGCAGGGAAGCCCAAGATATCTGGGCAGTGGGACAGAGCATATGTCCTATAAGAATTCAGAGCAGCTCTTCTTATGCTGCCTTGCATACCATCAGTGCCCATGAATCCTATGGTTCTGTTCTTCATGTCGTTTGAAGAGAATTAGAGAGATCCAGCCCTGCTCTGTGAGATATACTCTCCATAGCAGATGGATGTGGCACTAGATAGTAAGCACTGTGATGATGTGTACACCATTACACCCAGAATTTGCCTAATGAAATAGCACTGTTTTAGTGAAACTATTATTTATAAGTATGTTCATGCATTATTTTTGTACAATAGTGAAAATATGGAGAGGATGGAAAGCTTCAATAATAAGTTATATGTTTTTATAGAAGAATATTATACAGTTATTGCAAAGTGTTATTAAGAAGAACAGTTAATAACCAGAAATATTCATGTTAGTAAAAATAATATATATTTATGCTAATATTACATTAATACATTATATATAATTATATGTATTTATATATAGAATCATACATGTGAAAAATAATTTCTCTATAACAAAAAATAATTTCATTAAAATATGGGTATATAGAGTTATGAGTGTGAAGAGTACATACACTAAAATATTAGTGGTGCTTATTGGGTAAGTGGTTCTGGATGATTTTCATTTCCTTGAGCTGTTCTAACCATAGGTCTGTATATAAATTCTCATGTTATACTGACTAAATATGTATTTATTTGAGACTGGAGAACAGGAATGGAGTGTTTGACAGGGATCATTTGGTTGCAAGGAATAGATAACCTAAGGAAAAAAATAATTTATTGGTAAATTATCTGAGAAAGTACAGCTCAGGTCTCTCTCAGGAATAAGGAGATGCCAAGAGTTTCTGAAGGTCAGGCATTATTCTCTCCAATTCCCTTTCTCTCTCTGCATGGTTTCCTCTGTCACTGTTGGCACATCTGCTTTTCTCTTCTCTCTCTTAGATCTGACTCTATCTGCTTAGCAGATTGACTGTCTAGTCCCCATGTGACTTTCCAGTTCTGAACTCAGCAGAGACCGTCCAGAGTCTCTGTTGGTAGTTCCAGATCATAGCAGAGAGAAAATGATTGACATAGTGTGTACCAGTTAACTTTTGCTACTTAACAAATGACCCAAAAACTTAGGGTCTTTCAACAACCAGTTATTTCATTCCCAAGGCTATAGGTCTGTGGGCCTGCTTTCTGATCTGGACCAGCCTAAGTTGATTTGGCCAGGCCAGTCAGTTGGTGGATGATCCATGGAATGGCCAGTCTAGAATGGCTTCTCCTGGGATGGCTTCCACTATGGTGTCAGCCTCCAGCAGGCTAGCTCAGGCTTATTTGCATGGAGGTCTCAAGTTTCCAAAAAGGAGGGAGAACACATGTAAGGATTTACTACATTCAGAAGTAGCATGTTACATCCACTACATGTGATTGGTCAATGCAAGTGAAAAAGCTTGCCAAATTCAAGAGGTAAAGAAATAGACACCTATCTTCATGAGAACAGTTACAGAGTCACACTGTTGGGTGTACAGATATGGGGAGGGGAAGAGTTCTGGCCATTTTATAATCTGCACTTAATCTGCCAGGGACACAGGCTGACATAGGCTCCATCTTGTAGTTGCACCACATTTACATATTTCTACATCACCCACTTGGCTGATACAGCCAAAAAAGAGAGAGGCTGGAGAATCATGCATAAGCGTTTCATTGTTTCAGCCTGGAAGTGACATTTGTCATGTCCCTTCATAGCTCATGATGAACACAGTCACATGGCCTCCACCTTATGGCAAGATGGTAGAATAATGAGTCAATGGAGTATTTGGCAAGTATCACTGTCTCTGCCACGGTGAGCATTGGACAGAACTAAACTAACCGATTGTTTAAAGGACTAATGTCAGAACAGTGGAGGAGCAGGTAATGCTAGTGCTATAAAGGTATCAAAAGTTATGTGAAGCTCTTAAGGAATCCATAGGGCTGGCCCAAAGGGGCCAGAGTAAACAGGAGGAAAATGCAAGTAGTTCTGCATCCAATATCCTAGAACATTCCATCCAGACCCACTCAAAGTCTTCCTTGAGCTTTTGATCTGCTCCTCGAGCCAAGTCGACCCATAAGACTAAGGCAGTTAATGTCACAGGTAAGAATTGGTGTTCTAGAACCAAGTGTTGAGAGGTGCTAAGGTAATAGGAAAATGATGCTGAGCATCAAAGTCAAAAACAAGAGAAGTAAAAGGACCACAAGCAGTAAGGCTAGCTTTTCACAAGGGCTGAAGCAAGATAGACTTGTAGTGAGGAGTGAGTCTAGGAATCTTTGAAAGCTTCTATGAATCTCTTTAGCTTCACACTGAGGCCATCAGCTTTGAGGAAGAATCGGAGCTCTCATCCTGTGCAGCGTCTGGTTGCAGAGGTGAGAGAGGGACTTAACCAAGACACACTGGACTGGACACTTGAAACTGCAGACCTATGCCTTCCATCTCCCACTATGTTTTGTTCCTCTTCATCCATTTTGGCTTCCTTGTCTCTCATTTGGCCTTTGTAGCATGTAACCCCTACTGACTGCTTCTCCAATTTCTCATATCTGAGACTTGAACTTTTGCAGCATTTCTACATCCCAAGTATTTATGGTAAGAAGACAATGTTTTATAAGGTGCAATGTCCAAAATATTAGTCATAGTTGATGAGGTCTCCTTTGAGTTCCTACCTCAAAGTCCTAAATGATAATGTGGTTTATGCTGCACAAAATGTCCCATAGAAGCCAAGTAGTGCAGGAATACTCTGGGGAGCCTGCTGCTCCCCATTCCACATGTGGATTCAACCTAATGTCCTCCCATTAGGAGGAAGCAAAAGGCATAGGTCTAAGCACCATGCTAGGTTTGGTGAGAAATGGAAGAAGGAGAGCCTTGCTTGACCTGTTGCCCGTTGCCTTGCAGGTCAGTGGGACCATGTACAATACTGGAAGACACGTGTCTCTGCGCCTGGACAAGGAGCACTTGGTCAACATATCAGGAGGGCCCATGACATACAGCCACCGGCTAGAGGAGATCCGGCTACACTTTGGGAGTGAAGATAGCCAAGGGTCAGAGCACCTCCTCAACGGACAAGCCTTCTCTGGAGAGGTAGGTGGGGCTGTCGGGAACTAAGGTTAAGTGCAACTTAGTAAGATTTGGTACCTATTTATATCATGGTGGGATAACAGGAGGAAATGTTTCTCTGAATCTGTGAAACAAGAAGATTGGTACCTTCTTTCTCCCTCTGTCTTTTGCAAGTTGATGTGGAAGTCTATAATGAGCTTCCAGTGTTTACCAGGGAAGTCCACAATGAAACGGAACATTTCCTTCCGAAACTTTGGTGCACCTTTCTTGTGACTCATGCCCTAAGTCATTTCCGGAGCATTATTTCCTAAACCTTTACCTTTCAAGCTCATCTTCATTTTCTTCTATCTGGGTACTCAATCTCCCATATGTCACATATGATAACATAGATTCCGTAATTCTCCATTCTGGTAGAATGGATCTTATTTGCACAAAAGTATAATTTGCTGTGAAATATATGCCAGGCAACTAAATAGTTACCATTAATGGTGAGTGTCGCTGAATGCCACCATCAACCCAGAAAAAAACGCAAGCCACAGCAGTGAGCCAAACCACAGTCTCAATTATAGGATGAGAGCTACAGTTTAAGCAGATGGCATCTGTGTTGTGACACTTGACAAGCAGGGTGTGTTTTATTTGACTTCTTTGATCTCTCTTGCACTTGAGAGTGATTATCAAGAAGGGGCCGGGGGGGGGGGGGGTTACATGCTAAATATCCTGTAACGAGGTTTCTTTTTAAGAGTCCTCAATAACTGATGTCAAGACGGCTCTGAAATAACAAAAGTATATATCTCATTATTATCATAATGTGGTGTTTTAAAGTGGATTTCATCAAGAACATGTTTAAACCTGGCATTGTTTTTGACATCATAAGGCCATACACTGAGAAAGAATGCACCACCTTAATGAGTCCAGTGGCCAGATTTTAATAATTGTTCAAAAATGCATTAATTGAGAACCTTCCTAGGTAGGCATTCTGCTCATTACCAGGAACACCGAGATTAAAACAAATAAAACCACAGAGCTCCTATCACAGAGGAGCTCAGAGGGTGCTATATTCAAATCACTCAAGTAGAATGTCACGCTGTAATCGAGATGTACAAAGGCTCTGGCCAACTCAAAGAAGAATTGGCAAATTTTGCTTGAAGGGATCAGAAGACGCCTCACCTTTAAACTGGGCTGAGAAGAGGAGCAATGCAGAACTATTTTAAAAGCATCATGTTTGGAGTCAGAGAACCTGAGTTTGTACCTCCTGCTTTGATACACACTAATTGCATGAGCTTGGATGGCTGTTTGATCTTTCTAAGGCTGAGTTAGACAGCTCTCCAGGTTACTTTGAAAATTAACGGGGATTCCAAATGTGAGGAGCACTAGTACTCAATGGTTGATAGACAACAAAGATAAAGCAAGAAATGAGGGACAACAAAGGCACCAGATGAGTCAGAGCACTGAGTATTGAGGAAGATTTGCATAGATTTCATACATCTTCAGTTAGTAATGGCTGCATAGAGGACAAGGCTGACAGGAATATGGGTCTCCTTCTAATAGAATGTGTAGCAGAAATTCTAGGAGTAATTAGAGAAGTCTGCCAAAGGCACTGTAATGCAAAAATCCCTAGTTGCAGATCCTAAACTAGGGTAGGGCAACAACTCATGAATTAAGAATGACTAGAGACTGCCAATCTGAATGAGAAAATATTCAAAATCAGATAACCACATGTTATTTTAAGAGTTCTAATCATTTTAGTTGTTGAGTTACTTGCTCATTTATCTGTTTGCTGTTATTTTTTTTCTCCCTCTTTTACTGTACTGTTACATGCCAGTGCCTATCACAAGATTGCCTCAGAGTAAAAATGAATTTATGAAAGAATTTATTTAAAGAATGAATGAAAAATGTAGATGTTTACTTGGCCAAATCTTTACATTGTAGAATTCCTTAAGGTTGCTTGTTCTTCAATATATAATAAGGGGGCAATATAATTGATATATGAACTACAATTTTGGAGTAAATGAATGCTTCCAAAATCCTTAAGGAAAGCATATAACAATTGGATCTGTCATTGAGTTCATTTTCCTAGACCAGGGGTCGGCAAACTCATTATTAGTCAACAGAGCCAAATATCAACAGAACAACAATAGAAATTTCTTTTGAGAGCCAAATTTATTCAACTTAAACTTCTTCTAATGCCACTTTTTTAAAATAGACTTGCCCAGGATGTGGTATTTTGTGAAAGAGCCACACTTAAGGGGCCAAAGAACATGTAGCTCGGAGCCGCAGTTTGCCAACCACTGTTCTAGACCTATCCCAAACCACAGGTATCAGACACTCTAGGGAATCATATTTTAAAAGTTCCCGGGAGAATCTGATAATGAGATTTGTGAAACACACCCTCAATAGTTCATTCTTAAGTGTTCTCAATGAAGAAAGCATTTGCAAATCAGCATTAACTGGGAATCATTGTCAGAATATTCACATTTGAGTTCTTCACCAACAGCAACTGAATCAATCTACAGGAGTGGGGTCTGGGTGTGCACATTTGTACAAATTCCCCCCAAGAGATTTCGGTTAGTGACCACTGTGCCAGTTTCAGCCCAAGTTCTGTCTAAATTATCCCAGTTTTTAAACCGTGACTTAAGAAAGCCATACAATACAAAAATGAAGGAGGAGCACCCAGAGGTAACTGGCCTCTGGAAATAGCAAAGCTGTGTGCTTTCTACACTGTGGGGCTTGGATAACAGCTTCCCAAGCATGGGAGCCACACCCATCCATTGCTCCCAGGCAAACTTGAGCATTAGCCTCAGCAGAAGTCCAGTTAGACTTTGCCCTCGGTAGACCACACCAACTCTATCCCATTTCTTTCCGAGCCCCTCCATCTCAGTGGGAGTGGTCTTTGTATGGCTGGTCTGTAAACTGGTGTACGTTTCGTTGCCAGAAACCAGGATGTTGGAAGCACCAAAACAATCTCTTACGGAAAGCAGTTGGATAGGCATTTGGCCTTTGAGAGACCCAAAGGGCTGTAGTGAGCAAGAAGAGTTTGGCATTTTCTTTGTGGTATGAGGGAAAGAACTAGAATCAATGGGTAAACATTCGAGGAAAATGGAGTTTGGCTGAATATATGTTCTAACTATAAAAACTATCTGTCAATGGAATGAGTTTACCTCTGACACCAGCAAATCCCCATCACCGGAATTATTAAGCATGGAATGGAATTTGAGGACTTCATAAAAGTGACTCACATCCCTTTAGCTTTAATGTGCCTTTTTATGCTGAAATTCTGTACAGTCCATGATTTCCTTAAAGAATATGTTCTCCAATCCGATTCCACTGACGGTTAGCCCCAGTTCAAGTAAATATTTCCCATCCTGTAGGTGAACATAGTATTTTTATTTTGTGCTATCTGCATAGCCACCTTTGGCCTTTGTTTTTGGCCATCCACTGAGAGGTCCCAGGTAGACACAGAGCATGTGTTTATTTTGTTGACAATGAGTAATCACATTGCCATCTGCCCCATCTATCATTGCTGATCGTGATAAGTCCATTAACGCTGAGCGTTTTCCTTGGCACAGTGCAGCAGTCCTTATCTGAAGAGCTTAGATTAATTGCTATCTTGTCTAGTGAGGTTATTGTAATTGATGGTAATCATTTGCTTTGTTTTATAAAGCTGCATGAATGTACGACACAGTCAGCAACTGCGTTTTTATAAAAATTATTCATGTCCTACACGGAGAACTCCTGAATGCCTTGTTGGGGGTTGGTGATAAATGAGCATATTCAGGGATTCAAATGTCTCCATGTTTTTAAGAAGGGAAAATTAACTGTTTTTAATAAGTAAGACCCTTAGCTTGCTAATCATGTCTAAGTAGTTAGATTAATGTCCAGTATAAAGTAGGGTGTTTATGAAAAGAAACAAATACATTAACCAGGCAGAAGATAATATTTGAAAAGAATCATGCCTGTGGATTAAGTTGCAGTTGTGAGGCCAGACAAGAAGAATCTTTCTTATTTGAGGAAAATTGGAAATATTCATTTTAAAAACCTCCCTTAGGTTCTTCTTTTCAAAGGGGTAAGGAGGGGCACTGAGAATTGCACCAGCCATTTCATGGGGTACCTGTGGCCAGAGCCTGCTGTTTATGTGATCCACTCTTCACATGACCGCGGTGCTTCTGCCCTGTGCTATTTCCACAGCCCAGCTTCCTGCTCAAAGAAGCATGGACTGTACAGGAAATAGACAGCCTGGCCACTGTTTACATGCTTTGCAACTTACTTTCATTCGTACATTCATTCAGTTAACAAATAGGAGTTGAGTGTCTACCACATGCTGTGCAGGGAATAAAATAAAGTCTGCCTGTAAGGTACTTTCCGGCCAGTGAGGGTAGACAAATAATAGACATGATAAATGATATGGTAAGTTAGAATAGGATAAATGCTATGGGAAAATAAATAGATCAGAGTAGAGGGTATCATAGGATGAGGAATGGAGGTAGTAAGTTACAAGTGTAAATAGGGTGATTGGTTTTACTCTCAATGAGAGGATGACATTCATGAAGTTGCCATGGAGATGTCTAGGGGGAGGACATTGCTGGCAGAAGCAACAGCAAGGACTATGGCTTTGAAGTGGGAAAGAGATGTGAGCATTTTACGAAGAGCAGGAGCAGCAAGAACACATCTGTAGCAATAAAGGTGTGAGGAGTCAGAGAGAGATGACAGGGGCCAGGGCTGCCGCAAACCATATCCTCTTTGCGTGGACTTTGCATGGACTTGGTTTTCACCCTGAATGAAATCTAAAGAACAGTGATATATATTCTCCCAGTTAACCAATAAACACTAGGTCAGTGAGGTTGCCCTTAGTATTGTCTTCTTCTTACCTGGGGAAACTAAGGCCCAAGACCATCCAGACAATAAGTATTTGGGGTTGGACTTTTCTCAGGTCTTTGGGTTCACAACTTTGCTTAACATAAGCCAAGGTTTATCCACAAGCCCCTTAGTAATGACTGCTCATCTATGCTGGGCCCTGGCCCAGTGGG